TATTGCATACATGCTGCTCACAAAACTGGTAAAGCAGTTGCAGGAGGTGTCACATCATCCAGGATGACTAGCATAAATTAATGTTGAGTGGCATATGAGTTAATTGCTTACCTACTAGATAAGGAGCATATATACAATTGAAGACCTTTAACCAAACATCTTAAGCATTTGGTCTGTATCGATGTTTTGTCCAACTTTTTTGTTGAACTTGCAACCCCCTCTAAATTTGACTTATCTCAACCAAGTCACTTTCGTGAAAGGTTCAGCATGTGGTAGCACATGTTTCGGACTGATGCAGATGCTGATTCTTCTGCTGAGAGAACTTCTTCATGTACAAGGACTGTTTCATTAATGTTTGGTTAGCCTTGAGCGTACTGTATCTAATGTCCTATCACAAAATGAAGAATAAGAAGCAGCAATTAGCATTTGTCTCTAAGAAGAAAGATTCAATATTTAGCCCTTTGCTGACATCCCTCTCCCATCCCTTCTGTGTGATGGTCTTTAATCCAGAGAAATCTTTTAGTTTTAAAAGCCTATATTTGTTTGAATGGCTTATTCTATGGCCATACTCCAAAGACAAGTCATAGAAACAATTGGACTCATTCTATATACCATTCTTGTTGTTTTTCCCTGCAGAAAACTGATCATTCATGATTGTTAACTTCTTGCCATGCAGCTATACTTGGGGGCTAGGAAACATGGGCCAACTTGGGCACACTTCTCTTCAGTCTGGGGATAAAGAGTTGCTGCCGAGGCGAGTGGTTGCCCTTGATGGAATCTTCATCAAGGATGTTGCATGTGGTGGTGTACACACTTGTGCAGCGACTCAAAAGGGAGCTCTTTATGCTTGGGGTGGTGGTCAAGCTGGGCAATTGGGCCTTGGCCCCCAAACTGGATCTTTTTCTTTCATTCCTAGCGAATCTGAATCCTTTCTGCGAAATATCCCTGCTTTGGTGGTCCCAACTGATGTGCAACATGTTGCTTGTGGACATTCTCACACACTTGTTTCTATGAGGGATGGAAGAATACATGGATGGGGTTACAATAGCTATGGTCAGGCAGCGAATGAGAAATCTACTTACGCTTGGTATCCATCACCAGTTGACTGGTACGTTATAGCTAAATTTCTTCAGTAGCTTCTGTTGATTTATTTAGTCCTGGATTTTGATGGAAGTATGAAATTGCAGGTGTGTAGGGGAAGTGCGGAAACTAGCAGCTGGTGGTGGCCATTCAGCAGTGTTGACTGATGCTTGTTCCTTGAAAGAGTTGTGCGAGTTTAGACTTGCAGAGAATGTAACTTTATCAAATGCCTCTGAAATTGAGGATGTTGCATCCAGAACAGGAGCAGATGCTTTAGCACGCCTCTGTGGAAGATTGAGGTATTCCTCTTTTGTGTATGGTTGATAGATCTGCCTCTGACTTGTTATTTATAGGGTTAACCACAAGAATACATGGGGCTGTGTGTTTCATCAATCACATCCATTTTACTCGTAATGTTACCTAAAGTTATCAATTTCACCCTCCCTTCCACTTTCCATCCAAATCTGTTAACAAAATCTTTTACACCCCCATGCAGAAACTTTTAAATTTCAAGATTAATTGAATTTTTTGTTTAAAAATGAAAAGTTAATGATAAAAAAGACAAAACTTAATTTAAACTCAAAATTTTGAAAAACTTGAATCCCGTTTAGACTAAAAATTTAAAGTTAGTTGTTAAAAGAGAAGAAAAAAGAACCATTAAATCCCATTTAATTCAAAATTATAAAGAATTTAAAAATTGAATGTTTCAAGTTCAATTTTTTTTCCCAATCTCATACTATTATTTTTCTTATTCTGTTCTAAATTTGATAAATCTTGAAATTCTGAGTTACCACATGGGTATTTAATGGAATATGTTAAACTGATTTGGATGGAAGGTGGATTGAAGGGTACCAATTAAAAACATGTGGTAACCTTAAGGGTATAATTGATGGATGCAATTGATGAAGGGTTAACATTGAAAACAGCCCTACATGGAAGGGGTATTTTTGTAGTTAGCCCTTGTTTCTATTTATTCTTTTGATCTGGTTGCTTTATTCTGGAGTCTTAAACCCTGTTTGAGAGTATGGGGCTGCTTTTCATTCTAAAATGCATTAAAATAATTTTTTTATTTTTTGAAAATTATTTTTGAAATCAGCGTATCAAAACGATCCAGAACATAAAAAAATTAATTTTTAGCCAAAAATATTTGAATTTTTTTGAAATGTAGGTTGGCCCGAGTTTCCAATTGCTCTTTTAGTAGCACACCATCCTCTGCTTGTAAAGATGTCTACTTTATGCTGTGAGTCACTAGAATTTGATTGGAAGCTGAAATTCTCTAAAATGTTTGGAGTGACATGGGAGGTGATCTCATGTATTTATATTTTACTCTCTCTAGAGTGTGTGATGTGAATTTCATATTAATGCGATGCTTCAATGCCAACCTTCTTTAAAATATTTAGATTTTACTCTTTCTAGAGTGGCTGTGATGTGAATTTCATATTAATGCGATGCTTCAATACCAACCATCTTTAAAATACTGAATCGAGCTACTGTCAATTGAATCATTGTTTACATTTTGTTACCACTGCTCGTGTGCAATTTATGCCACCGTGAGCTTTGCCACTTTATCCTTGCGATGGCTTGGATGTACTATCTCGTCATTTTCCTATTGTTTCATTTGGAGATGCTTAACAACACAGCTCTTTTTACCTGCAGGGAGCATTTGCTTGGAGGCGATTTAGATTATGAAGATATCAGCAACAGGAAGGACGAAACAATCAATTAGGACTGGAGATTGCTGCTCACTGTTGTGGTCTGTATTTTCGTTGGTGATCCAATGAGGACTGCAATTAATAACTATATTATTGAGATGCCAATGGGGAATCCCTGGTGCTCCGTGTATCATATAATTCACTTCTCGTAGGTCATGTAGGTGATCACTCTGGTTGTGACCATTGAACCAAAACCACATGCTTGATATTGAAGTCGAAATTGAACTTCTTATTGAACCTTGTATAAAATTCAGTGGTTGTTGGACTTAAAGTGTATGCAAAAGGATTCTTGCTCTGAAATGGTGCTCGCCTTGATCATAGACAAGTGACGTTGTGTTATATTAAAGATCTAGCCTCCTGGGGAGGCCACGCTAAATTAAATTAAAAGAAAAGCAGCTTAAAAGCCATACAAAACTTGCATTTGGTGGTAAAACCATCTTGTCAAGGTGATGTAATATTACAATATTGATTAAGGATAAGTTGGTTTATATATATATACATTTTACAAAGTTAAATGATTTTATTTTCTTTAAAGCAAAAAAATGATTGCTTTTGTCTTTTACTATTATTTGCATGCTAAAATTACCGTGATACATATAAGATAACAAAAAAACATTAAATTTGCACAGGAGGGATGTTTTATATTTTTATTTTATGAATAATGAAGTTATGAGATTGCCTTTCAAATAAAAATTTGTGTGCATTGTTTTAAGGGTGTTTTTTGTTTTTTATATATTTTTTTGTTATTTTTGGGATGATTTAAGGGCTAATTAGTAATTTTAAAAGATTAAATATTATTTATTTTTTTTTGTTAATGTGTGCAACGATTCCTGCACCTTTCGAGCAGCGTGTGTAAGATTATTCAATTATTATAATTAGTTGTTTGTGATAGCATTTAGAGCACCAAGTTATCTTTTTTTTTATCTCGGTGGAGCACGTATAAACAACAAACATGCTATTGAAGAATAATTCAAATCTCATCCTTCAATTAATTAAAAATTAAATTTTATAATTTATTTTTATTTATTTTATATTAATTATTTCAATCATATAATTTAATTTGTGAACTTGAATCAATTATTTAGATTAACTCAAGTTGTATATTTTTTAGTTTTTTAATTGATTTTTTTTCAATTTTTATCCTATTAATATTAGATTTAATTGGATACTAGGTTTTATAATTTGTTTTGATTTGTTTTTTGTAATGTTATCTTAGTCTCATGTCCTAATTTTAGATTTGAAAGGTTAACTTAGATTGACTTAAATCAATCAAATATATTTTCGTCTTAATATTTTAAAAAATATATTATTTTAAATTTTTTTAGTCAAACTATATTTTTAATAGTTGTTTGGGTTGTCTTTACCTTTGTCAAGTTGATCGTTATATCGGATCAACCTCCAGATAATTTAATTTAATTTTTCTACTAGAAAATATGTTTTGTCAAGTTGATCGTTATATCGGATCAATCTCCAGATAATTTAATTTAATTTTTCTAACAATATATACCTAGAAAAATTTTTACACTAAAAAAATTAATTTGACATGTAGTATAGCACATGAAAATGATATTTTTAACTATAAAATAAAATAGGAAGGGGGTTTTGCTTTTTTTTTTCTTCTCTGCTCTTTTTTCTCAATTAATATTTTTTTCTTTTGCTAATTTCATCCTTTAAATTCAAGGAAATTTTTTGGGTAAATACAACTCATTTTCTTGAGCCATTTAATTATAATTTAGTTATTTTAGTTTATGAAAACAAATTAATAAATCCATATAATATATAAAAATAATTAAATAGTCTTTTGATTTAATAGTATTTTATTTAAGAAAATAGTTTTCTTTTCTCATTCTCGAGCTGGTATATCATCACAGACAACTTCGATTTGTGGTTTACCATGTCGCAATTGGAAAATTGGCATCACTGGAGCTGTAGCCTGTGGTGTTAAGTTGACTCATGAGGTGACCACTCACTACGAAATCTAATCCCCACAAGAAAAGCAAAACCAAACAAGAAGGGAAAACAAAGAATTCTGTCTCTTGTTCTTCAACAATAGAAGTCAAACTCTTTTCTAAGTTTATTGTTTATAGATAAATTAGTTCACATGTTCATCTTGGCTAGGCCAGCGATGGCAGCGTTGCCACCAAATAAGTCAAGATAAAAGCTCTTGATCATGATTCATGAATGAGATTTTCAGCTGCCGATTCAGGGTGGAGTAAGCTTGTTGAAGCAGAGACTATACTAGCATGCATGCAAAGTGGAATCTTTGCCTACTTAAGGGATATGACAAGACACGGAGCTGGTTTTAGTCTCGAAATAGTTAAGATTACAAATTCAATTATTGTGAATAAGCACTTGAAATTGTCTGCATATTAGTAGAGGTTATGCGATGGATAAATTGACGGCTATAAGAACGAAGTGATAAGTACTCTTCTTCACCTCAATGCCCCATTGATTTTCTGATCTCTCATCCCATGTCTCAAATTCTATCATTGACATGGCGAAGCATCCAATGTGGAATGGTGCTAGGTTGAGTTTGAACTTCAACATCCTTGTTTCCGTTCAGGAATCCTCTAATCTGGAAACTGCCACTGCATCATTTTGCAACAAATGGTTATTTTCTAGTCTGTAAATCAACTAGCAAAGCATGGAATTATAGTATCCTCGCTTAAATTGACCACGCATCCTTTTTTTCCTTACTTCCATAGAAATAATGTTTCTCTAGAGCAAGAAAGGAGAGAACATACCCTATAGTTGGTGGAGGATGTGATAGCATTGACGGCTGCAGTGGAGGTGGTGCTTGTGGTAGCATAAAAGAGGATGAGTTCTGGCCAAGGTTTTGCTGCTCCCATTGTGCTTGCTCAGTTAGCGCCTTCAGTTTTTTCTTGGCCTTTTTTTTTTCTCACAAAATTTTCCACTATCAGTTTTCAGATATAATGCAATATAATGCAATATAGCCTGTTTAAGTATGAAAGACCAAACCTGACAATCGTATTTGAGTGACTTGTATACCTGTTCTACTAGTATGTTGTTCTGGTCCTGAAGTGCCTTTTCCTGCCACAAGCTTGTGTGTTAGATGACACGTACCATACCATGAATATGAATTAGGGCTAAGAATCCAAACTATTTTATCATAGAAATTAGGGCTGTGAACCCTAGGCTCTTGAGCTAGTGTTTTGGACCTTTGGTAACAGGCTAGTGCTATATTACTATATTAGTGACTTTTATGCGGCTACTCAAACATAAACAAAATTTTCACCAAAGCAGCGAATAGAAGTGCAGAAATCTTACTTTTTTCTGCATTTCTGCAAGGGATTCATGGACGAGTTGGTTCTGCAAATTCGAGATTAACTTACACCATGAGCAAGCATTACAACATGTATATCTAAACAAACTAGCATGTGACAACACAAACAATCCTAACTTGAACTTCACCTTTCTTGATCGTATGCTCTTAAGAGCAGTATCTATTTTTTGCTCCAGGTGTTGAAGTTCTTTGTAACTTAAAGGGTCCAAATCCTGTCCTGTATAGTTCCTAAATAGGCAAAATATGAAATACGTCACATCATTTTCTTGATTATTGGCCAGTGCTGTATTGCCATGTGAGAAACAGTACAAAAAGGATGGTCTCAAGCATCTTGGATTTTGTTCAGATTTTTTTAAGGAAAGAATCTCAAAAACCAGTAAGCAAAGGTTCCAATACCTTTAGGAAAAAAAAAGAAAAAAAAAATGAAGTGAACGAAATCCTTTGGTTGAGTGTTTTTGTATAGTTGACACAGAGACTAAGACTTCAGCATACTACACGGATAAAAGTCATATTTAATGACTTGACAAACATCAATACAACTCAAATGAAATCACAGTAGTACCTTAGGTTTCTCTGCAAGAGTTCAACCCTAGCCCTGAGCTTTGGGTGCTCCAAAAACCAGCTTCCCTAAAAATGATTCACAAAAATATCAAGAAACTTAGACACATACAATATCATATTCAATGTGAAGTTTGAAATACATGAGAAACCGTAACCAACAAACACACAACCTATTAGGCTTCTTAAACAAAAGCTAACTTGCTGAAGTGTCCACTGGCCATTCTCCGGTCCACCCACAAAAGTACAAGATTAATAACTATGGACTCATTCTGGTAGATCATACTCATATAATACCTGATGTTCAGGGCCATGTGGCACAAACTGCTGCTCTGCATACGAGCATCTTTCGTATCTTTCAAGGATCGATTCCATGCTGCCAAAAATGGAGAAGTTCTGAAGAATGCTCAACTAAGATTTATGCAGATGAACTACAAGTTTTAATATTTAAGTAACATCCATGAGACCTAAACAAGAATGACTATCTACCCAAAGAAAGATGGATTACATGACATGAGAATCTAGTAAAAACAATCTTAAGATATGATTAACTTATTCAATCTATGACCTTTATTTAAAAGGCATGTCTATGAGATTATCCGAGAAATATACTTAATCTCTATTGATGCATGCGTTAGTTCGAAGACATCCCTTGTCGTTGAATAAGAAAAAATCATAGTTATGCAGAATTTTTGGAAGTAAAACTTCTGTTTTCTAGACTAGTAGCAATGCCGACAAAAAACTATACCATGACGAGCTAGAATATCAGTTCAATCTAAGAATTTAAGTGGGAGATATTAGAGGGATTGAGTTATGGAGATGCAAACAAAATCCGACCAGAAAAGTTAAGCTACTAGATGGACAGCCATTTCACATTATAATTTGACAATAATAATTGAGATGGAACTAGAGGTCGTGGTCAAAATTGTTGTAAATGAATTCCTATCTTACAAAATCTCATTATTTAAAAATATTTTTTTAAAAAATAAACTAGATTTAAATTTATCTGCCAATGCAGGTAATCTTACCAAATAAACTGGATTTAAATTTAGCTATGATATTCCATTCTTTTTTCAAGTAGTGAAATTATTTTGTAGTTTTTAAAGATGAAATCGACATAACTCTTTTAGAAGAATTTTTTTTAATGTTGTTTTATAGTTAATTTTAAGGCTACTTGTGAGCATTATTGTAATTGACTATTTATTAAATATTATTAAAAAAATATACTAGCGCGTGTATATATTAATGAGTGGTTGACCCTTACAATTTTCAAGTGGTACATGCACGGCTATCCAGTAACTAAACTCTGCCTTCCATGAAGGTGTTTAAAAAGCCTTAGTGCCTTTTATAAGATGGGATGACGTGTGCGCCAAAAGCATTTTTGGTTTGACACTGAAAATTATTTGTTTTTTTTTTCTTTTTAAATTTAATGTTAGCTCCTACAAGAATTTAGATAACCACTGCAATTTATTTTTTTCTTCATATTTGATTCATGACCTTATGATTATTATTTTTAAAATTTTAAATAATCTATAAATTAAAAATATTTTTCAATTTCATCCCTTACTATTTTTTAGGATCCTTATTCTTTTGATATTTTTTTTGTTCAATTAATTTTTCTTTTTAATTTTACCATTCAATCAAAAGTAAAATTTATTTTGAATTTAAATTTTAATCCTTATTATTTAAATTTAAATTTTTGCTTTTGGATCCTTTGACGTAATTGATATTTTTTTTCACTTTAATCTTTCAACATTTAATTGGTTGAAAATTGAGCTACGAAGTTTTTCCACATATAGTGTAATTTTCCAGGTTAATTACTGGTTTAGAAAGTTAATGCTGGTTGATATTTTTTTTATTTTCCTTTTAGCTTTGTGATTTTTTTATGTTTTTTTTCTACTTAATTATCTTGGTCTTATAACCTGGACTACAAGTTTAGTAGGTTAGCTAAAATCCTGAATTTAATGGATTGTGAGTTTTAAAAATTAAATCATGTTTAAAAGGATCACTCGGGTTTGCTTGGTTTTTCCCTTTTTTTAATTGATATTTTCTTATTTTATCTTTTTTTTAAGAGTTTTATTTTCTTATTTTTTATGGTCTACCTTCTATGAGATTAGTCTTGAATTCATAACAAGAGTCACTAGTTTCAAAGCTTAACGTGAATTTATTATTTTTTTTTAAATTGATTTATTTCAATTTTATCATTCAACTTTTATTTATTGAAATTGATCTTCATACTTTTTTTTCTTTTTCTTTTTAGTGTGTTATCTTATTAATATGCCTATAGTCGCAAAGTTAGTGGATTAACCTGAGTTGACTTATAGTTTTTTTCATTATTTTTTTTAATTAAATTTATTTATTCAGTTTTGTTATTAAACATTGAGTTGTTTGATAATTAAATTTTATTATTTTATTACAACTTTTTTTGAACGTGGATGCCTTAATATCACAATTAGGTCAAATATTTTGCATCTTGACGTGTAAAGGCTAGAATCGAGTTTTTTTGAACTTTTTTTAAACTTATATATTTTCCTTAATTCTCATCCTAAAATATTTTATTTACTAGAGATTGAGCTTAAGCTCTTTTTTTATTATTTTATTTTAAATAGAGTTATTATGTTCTCATAGAAATTGATCTTCAAACTTTTTTTCCTGTTTTTTTTTTTGTAAAATTATTTCAATCTTATATTCATGATTACAAAGCTTACAAATTAACTCAATTTAAAATGTTTTTTTTATAAAAATAATTTATTTTTGTCCTTTCACATTGAGTTTTTGGATACTTAGATAAGCTAATTTTCTTTTTTCTTTTTTTATTTATATTATTTAAATTGTCAATTGAATCAATAAAATTGCTCTTGATATTTTTTCCTTAACATTTTTTATTACCAGCTAGCATGTAACAAAGTACAAGCCACAAATCTAGTTCTCTCGTGTAAATATAAGTGCTTTGTTTGGTACATCTACCTTTGTTTTATGCTCATTTCTTCTTTTTATTTTCAACATAAGACAAACAAAGTAATCATATTGAGAAATTGTGTTTTAATAAATATATTTTCTTAATTTTCAATTACTAAATCCCTTTAGAACAAATAATAAATTTAGAGTTGGAAGATAAAAGACTATTATTTAATTAAAAATAAACACTTTCTAAGTTTTTGTTTAATGGAATTCAACTAATCATTTAAATGAAGTGAAAATGTTTTCTTCAATAAGATAGTGCTGGGATGACATTTATATCAGCGGTGTCGGGAAGGTGGCGGCGGAGATGATAACAGTTAAGTTGCAGTGATAGGCTATAGCAACATTGATGAAATGGTGCCGATGAAGGCGCCAGTGGCGGCGATTATCATTGGAATGATTAGATGTTGATTTTTATTAAGAATTGTATCTTATGTAGATTTTGAAATTTCTTCGCTGTCGAAGGCGGAGCATCTCTGTATTTTCAGTAATTTTTATGGGATAGGTTTGGGTTACAAACAGGGGCTGAATTGTAGACTTGTGCAAGGCCCTCTTTCTGCACAAATTCATCAATGGCAGTTTCAACCTTAGCAGAATTATCTTCTTCCCCACCCCATGATTGTATCTATAAAATTAGCTTGATGAATCCAACGTTATTAAAGCTTTTTTGATAAAGGTAACTGAAACGAAAACTACAGAAACCACGATTTGACTTAGCCGAATCTTTTCCCTTGAGAAACCGCTGTTCCCTGTTTTCTTAGGTCTCTTTTGGCCGCATTTGTTTTTTTTTTTTTTTTTTTGCATTTATAATAAAACAAATATAGGAAGGCGTTTGATAATAAATTAAATTATATTTATATTATATTATAGAGTTTATTAAAAAATTAAATTTAAAATTAATGTAGTTTTTGTGCAACAATATTTATATTTATGTATTTTTTAACCGGTACATTGTATATATGTTTTTTATTATATATAATAATCATAATTTTTAATAAATACATATTTAAATCCAACTAATCATAACTAATTATATTTTTTTAAAACTTAGTTTTTTAAATTACAATCACAAAACTTAATTTAAAAATAAACACAATTCTCTGTCTCTCCTCTTCTTATCAACCTCTTTTTGAAGGAAAAGTAGCTGACGTACAATTTTTAGGTTTAATTTGAATTTGAAAACAACAAAAAAAATTATAAAATTAGATATTTGATCTAATAATCAGATTAAAATTATATATGTTTTTTTTTTACAAAATCCGTTTGATGGTTCCGAACTTTTTTTATGATCTAATATGTAACTCTTAACTACTATTGATATCTTTCTCCTCTCAAAAAGTCTCAAAAATGGAATCTCTAGTTTGTTTAAACAACAACCAGCACCATATATATATCCCAATATCCTCGTATATATGCTAATCATACGTTGTCGTTGAAGCACAAAACCCCATGCACAGAGCTCTATGACCTTTGGCTAGACCTGACCTGCTAAAGTTCTATATGATCTTCAGCTTATAATATATGGAAATCCAAGTCACTTCCTATGCCTAAAATACTGCTACTTTGCCGCTACTAGCTTCTCGTAGTATATAGACATGGGAAATGACAGGCAGAACTGCCGAGATGCACATGCAGGAGTCAAAACTTCAAAATTCACAAATTTGAAGCTTCTCCTTCTCATCATTTGATTGAGTGATTAATGCCGTACGTGTACTAGCTCTAAATGCAAAGAAAACAAAATTGACGAACAAGACAAAAGGGAATCATAAAGGACATAAAATAAAAGAAGGGCGACCAGGAACTATAAATATTTATATAAGAAGACAATTATGAATGCCAAGGATTTTTTCCACATAAAAAAACTTATAAAACAGTCAACAGGATGTGATGTACACAACTGTCACTGTTCATACATCTACAATAACATCAATGTTCTCTATAGCAAGAAAAATGTGTACTGTAGCATTGTTTCTTGTTTGTATCTGTGTTTGTATGTAACAGACATCAAGACTCAAAGATTGTTGCAAGGAAAGGTGCAATGCAGACCTTGAACAGCATGAAAAAGGATTACAGGCAGAACCATACGAGAACGAAAAATAAAGAATGTGAAAAACAAGTACTAGATAGTTTACTATAGAGCAAGATCAACGTGCAAGAACAAAAATGGAGATAGTTTGAGCGGAGTTAAGCAAGAAGAAAGAAAAAACCTGGAGTCAGTGGAGTACTCAAAGAGCTTCCCTTTTGTAGAGAAAACAATCACAGCGACATCAGCATCACACAGAACAGAGATCTCATGAGCTTTCTTTAGTAAACCAGTTCTTCTCTTAGAGAATGTCACTTGCCTGCTAATCTTGTTCTCGATCCTCTTCAACTGAACCCTACCTCTCCCCATCTTTATTATTTTTCACTCTTTTCTTCAGAGTTTCTATTTCTGTGATGGTATGGTGAACTATCAAGCCAAAGCCCTCCTTTGTATGTATATGTGGAAAAGTGTGGTGAGGGTCTCGTACTTAGGGGTGGTTTTGCAAAACAGAAGTGGTTTTAGCTGTGATGGTATGGTGAACTATCAAGCCAACGCCCTCCTTTGTATATATGTATATGTGGAGAAGTGTGGTGGGGGTCTCGTACTTTTAGAGGGGTGGTTTTGCAAAGCAGAAGTGGTTTTAAAGCTGTGTTCTGTCGATCTGTGATTGGTGAAGAGTCTAGATGTTGGTTGACGTGTCGTTCAGAGCCACAGGTTGATGGACGAACGGTCTGGACACTATCTTGTCACCCATGGCGTGGAAACTGGAAACCTCCCAGCTTCTATTTTTTATTCTTCTTTGTTTTAATGACGGCGATCCTTTTAGTTCTGTAAACTGCTTATTGCCCCCTTTGCTTTTCATGTTTGGTCACACATCTCAATAATGCATGTGTACCTACTTTTTGTGTAATTTGCATGAAAAACAAAACTCGTTTAATATTATTTCTTACATATTTTTACTTATTTAGCAACACACAGTGATAACTCAATTGTTTAAATTTTAAATTTATTTATAATTTTAATTTTGAACTTTTTAGGTTTATTAAAAATCTACATAATCATGAAATTTAAAATTTATAAAATTAATCAAAATATGTACAAATTATTCCAAACATGTATGTTAATAAAAAATAATTATACATTTTCAATTGTTTCTGAAATTAATATATATTTTTTAAAATAAAAATATTTTTTTAATATTTTTTTAAAAAAAAACCACAAATTGATGGTAAGTGTAAGAATAACTATATCCCCCAACAAAACAAGCTTTAACTTTCAGGAACTAGATGTCGAAGAGGGAGTTAACATTGCAATACTGTTTAAATCACTGTATTTCAATGAAAAAAATATATTAAAATTATTCAAATCATTTCAAAATATTGAACGAGATTTAATAATGGGTGAGGTGCCAAAATGGCTTTATATTAAATCTTTAAAGTGTGTGTATATATAAATGTAAAATTAATTTTAATTTTAAACTTGCATATATCTAAAAAATATTTATACTTAATTTTAATTTAATTCAGAATTAAAGATAGTAAAATTTAAACTTTCAAATGCTTGTTTATTAAAACTATCATATTATATAACAAATCATTTTAAAATAAAAATGAGATCTCAATAATTGTTTTATATCAACTCTCTAATAATGGCAATAACAGGGTAAAAAAGGGGTTATTTATATCAAATAATAAAAATCATTAAAATATATTATTTCTCATAGTCTAATGAGATTTAAGACTTTTAATTTAATTAAAGAGAAAGTACATATTTTTAATCATCAAACTAATCCTCCTGATTTTTTTTGCAAGTCTAAATATATTCCTCAAATGAAAAATCGATTATATCATGATCATACCGAATGAGTATAGGGTTTTTTTGGTTTATGTTCCCTTCCCTCTCTCTTTCCCCCCCTTGTAACATAGATTAATTCACTTCAAACCCTAATGGAACCTGGGGAATCTCTGGGAGTTATTGCACCTAGCTGAAGTGGAATATTAACATATATTTCTAGCACCATATATAAGAACCTGGCCAATCTTCTTTTTTTTTTTTTTTCTAGAGAAGCAAAACCAGCCAGAAATAGAACAAAAATACTGATTTTGCAACCAAATTGGCTATCTCTTTTCACATATATTGACATGATGAGTTTTCAAACTCTGGATACAATGCGAGTAGATGCCTAATATCTACCACTCTTGAGTCAATTTCTCAGTTTGAAGATGATCTGCTCTGCCATGGCCTTCTCTTCTTCTCGAAATGCTTTAATGTGATTATGTCCAGCTGCATGTATAAAAAAATAAATTAAAAAAGAGAGCTAGAAATGCAACGAAACAGACAGTGTCGAAATTCTTTGAAGATAATAGAAACATCATCATTAAACTCTGATGAAATCAAGCCTCCTTTATGAACACTCTACGACCACTTAAATGTAATTTTAAACCCTTCATTATAAACTTTCATTAATCTAATTAAATACAATTAATTAACAAAAATATATCTAATTAAATACAATTAATTAACAAAAATATATCTAATTAAATACAATTAATTAACAAAAATATATCTAATTAAATACAATTAATTAACAAAAATATATGGTACTAGATCGATGTATACGTATTAAGCATAATAAACAAACATAAAAGTAATTTAGAAATATATCAAAACAAATATAATAGTTTTTAGATTAAAACTTAGTGTGAACAAAATAATTAGAGTAAACTAGGTATAAATCATCAAAGAAAATATTTTTTGATTTACAACTAATATTAGATAACACTTAATAATTTTTATTATATTTATTATGGGAAAAATATCTTTTTTATTTGTAATAAATCTTTATTTATATTTTACTTTGTTTATAGCCAACATTAATGGATATCATTTTAGTTAATGTTTGAGGTGGATTGTAGTAGTGGTTGTTTTTTTTTTTGTAAATAATAATAGTTTTAGTTTTAAAATTTATTTTTAATACTAGTATATTAAAATAATTTAAAATTATAAAAAATAAACTGAAAATAAAAAATTAAGAATTTTCAGAAACATTTTTTGAAAGTGACAACATATTAATCATCCTTTATTCAGATCAAGGAATGGCACCGGATCCACAAGGTAAAGTTAAATCAGTAATTTTTATTTATTTAAAACAACCTTAATAAGGGGATTTAACGTAAGCCAAACACAGAATCGGTGGTTCAGACCACACGCGAAAGGTGAAATGACTTGATTTTGTTGTTTTTGCCGAAGAAAATGAAGAAGAGGACTAACGAATGCAACGGACAAAACTGTCGGGGCCCGGTTAGATTTTTATCGCCAGCGGTCGATGTGATAGGCCTCAACGCTAAAATCTTATCCTTGTCCGTGCTGACCTATTTGCTTACTTGTTTTGCACGGCACTAATACGCGCTCATTTCTCCCTATACATATATATATATATATATATATATATACTGGCTGTTTTCGCAAGGGAATTTTCAAAATCAATTTTGTTATAATTAAAATAGATGTTTGCAGGAAAGATAAATATTTTGAATTTTGTAATAAAATATATTTTATTAGGAGAATCTTCATTACCTTATTAATGTATTTTTTTAATAAAAAGTATCTTTTTATTATTAGCATGCTTTTTAAATAGAAAAATTAAAGACCATTCAAATAAATATTCATGAAAATTCCAATTCTTTGAATTAAAGATGGAAAATGCACCATTGATTTATTTCTTTTTTATTTTAACTAAAGGGTTTTTTTTTTAACTAGAATCATTAGTTTTTGAATAAAAAAATATCTTGGTTCAAAAAATAAAATTTAATAAAAAACAAAAAAAAATCACATCTCGATAATTTATTTGTGATGAAAGGAGAAAATAAAACAACAATAAATCTAAAAAAATATGTAAATAAATTAAAAAAAAAATAAAAAAAATATCATATCCACATGGGCATATGTTTTTTAAATTTTATGTTCATATATAATAATTCATAAAATAATTTTTAGTATTATAATGATAAATAATAATTTTATTTAAAAACTATGACAAGATTGAATTTAAATATTATTTTAATCATTCTATTTATGGTTAATTTTATTTAAAATTAAAAAACAATTAAATTTTTTCATAAATAATATCAAAAGAGACTAGACATTGATCCTAGAAGAATTGACTTGTGCGCCTAGCTAAAAATTAAAGTCCACATGCGCCTTGAACTATAATGTCAAGCTCATGCATATAGCCTTTTATTTTAAATAAAATGGATGTACAACAATTTTTTTAAATAAAACAAGTAATATGTTATTTATATATATAAACATCTTGTTGTTATCTTGTTCAAATTCCAATAATCTCCCGTGGTTATAAAGTTAGGGTTTGGATTCTTGGATCATAAAAGCTCATTTTAAATTTATTTTCACCTGAAAATACTTAAAAAAGCATTCTAGTAACTTGACATAAATTTATTTTTAACCCAAAACACTATAAAATCAATAAAAAAACTAAAAATTAAATTAAATAAAAAATTATTGAGTTTTGAAATACTTTTTCTAGCAAAATAAGAGTTTCAAACCATTTACATGAAAATCCACTCATTAAAATAAATTAATTAGCACCAACTTTAACATTTGTTATAATTGAAGTTTAGCTCACTGAATGTTTTTTTTTTTAATTTTTTTTAGTCTGTTCTTTCAACACACAAGAAACACCAAACTATAAATAAAATAAAGTTTAGAAGCTTAACATAAAATTATAAAATAAAAATAATTAAAAATATAAAAACAAAAACTATTAGGATCAAACTGAAGTTTTGGGTGCGCGCGCGTGCGCAAACATATATGGGGGTGGGGGGTTTGATAACATTTCCCATATATACACGGGCTGATGGATGTAGTTTGAACTTGAAATGAATAGGTGGGGGGTTTAAAAATTATTTTAATGTATTAATGTTAAAAATAATTTTTTAAAAAATAAAAAATATTATTTTAATATATTTTTAAATAAAAAATATTTTAAAAAATAACTATTATTATTACACAAATAGAGGGATCCCCAAGATTCTCCTCAACTCATATTGTACCTGTTATCAAAACTTAATCCTATAATTCTTGGCAATTCCTTGATTGTAGACGGTAGCTATATATAGAAGGATATGCTGACTTTGTATATTAATTACCTTACTGTAATATTGCTAAAGAAACTCTATAAATAATATCTGCACCATCAGACAAAGTAGTTTTATAAACCTTGTCATAGTATTAAAGCTTCTCTAAGGATTCACCTCTCTTAATCCAAATAACCTTTGAAACTCCGTCCTCCACTCTATCTTTCAACACCATGGTCCATCTCTTGACCATCAAGTTATCTTCTTCCAACTTCATCCTCTAGTATAGCCAAGTGCTGCCATTACTATAATGCCAACATCTTCTTGGATATGTTG